CAGTCGAAATTACTCTGATGAGTATCCGAGTTCAAAAGACTGGGTGAAGCTAGTATACTGCGACGATATCAAATCCAAAAATGTGGCTGTAGCCATATTATATATCAAATTTAAACAACATGTGTACAGTTCAGAAGCAAACATAAAAACTTCAATATAAGTACAAAATATAGAAATAATAACAATATACAATGATAAAATCTCAAAATGGAATCAAATAGAGTACCAAAATGTCAACAGAAAGAGTCAGTCATATCATGGTGTAAATATGCAATCAGAAACTGTCTCTTATACTTAATTTAACTGCTATTACTTTTACAGTAATTGTAAAAGCATTTGTGACAATTTGATCTAGCCTGTAAACTGGCGTGACTCTTGTAACTTAGTTATTTGAGAATAACACAAATATATAAACATGGAGGGATTTTCCAAAAAGCAAAACATTCAAAAAGGATTCTACACCGGCCCGCAAATTCCGTCCATGCAAAAAGGCGGGCGTTTACTGACACTTTAATTTAGGGTTCCCTCTCATTCCCTAATCCACACAGAAATAACGAATAGGACTTACAGCAGTACGCCTACCCGTTTTCAATATGGATATAACCTATCTATTTGGACCCTACCAAAATGTCAACAGAAAGAGTCAGTCATATCTTAACACAATTAATGAACATGGAGGGATTTTCCAAAAAACAAAACATTCAAAAAAGTTTCTACAATTATAATAACTATAAAAACCTTGAATTTTGTAGGTTCCTGGAGCAAAAAAACACAATTTTCAAACCAAAACAAACAGAAACCGAAATGTCGGAAAATAATAAATCAAACAAGTTCATAAGTTAAGTAAAACAAATATACCCAAAGAACAGTGAAATTAATGATATTTATATGAAGGTTTTAATCAGCCAAATTTCTTCATTTCTGCCGTAACAATTACTCCTGCTGCTTGGTGCTGTAATTTGAATCAATACTGAAAACCACTGGATATTGTTAATCTATTGCAATTTGTTCGTAATTTCTGAGGCGAATTGTTGTTACTATTCGTTCTCCCAAAACAAACTCTCACGTTTCGCTGCATTTTCTTAACATACTACAGCTAAAAATTGTAATAGTATACGCTCATCTGCAGTCGTTCAGACTTTCACTTTGTTCAAATCAGTTATGGACACTTTGTGGTTTGATTAAATCGTGAGTGACCATCACCGGGAACAAAAATAAATACATGTTAAAGAACAGATTTGCTGGCGATTTAGTATCGCTAGAATACCGAAATCCAGAGAGAAAAATGAGGAGAAATTACAGAGATTATAAAGCAACAATGACAGCAGCACAAACAGAAACTTTGTGCTCAAAGAGTGTCATAAACAAAAAGTACAGTTAAAAAACCACTAGTAGAATTGGTTATAATAATGAATGTTTCTATTAAAACAATCGCGCTCTCTTCATAAAAATAGAGCAACTACAACTTCATGAGTCGTCCGTTCCCTAACGCATTCAACACCCTGATCTAATGGTAACGACGCTGTCAGTGCTGGTCTAAAATTTTCTTTATCCTTTGGACCCAGTTCTCTTGTCCATGGATCAAAATTCATACATGATGCATCGACTAGTAGGTTTTTATTATGTAATCATCCTGCTCCAAAACGACGTGGAATATTGTTCAGCAATTCGGAAACTAAGGCCTATAATTTCACTTCAGATTTTCAGTTCTCGCGGCTCATCGATTAATGCTAAAAATTACAGTTTATGTTTCTGGACAACTGTAGGTTTATTTAAATCTTGTGAAATTTAACGCAAAACTTTCTGTATATTTCTATATATACTGATTATACATGGTCTGAAAGGCAAGAAAACACTACTCAAAAACTCTGTAATCCCGTCAACACTACTTCGAACTCCACCCAACTCATGAACCGTTTATTAAGTAAGGTCAGTAAGGTCAACCAATCTATTTCATGAGCGAGAAACACTACAACTAATACTGCTCTAGAGTCGAAAGAAACAAAAATTTGGTGATTTATAGAAAACCTAATTCGCTGCAGTGCATAAGGTACTATGAAAATGAAGGACAGGCTAGTTCCTATTTCACAGATTGTCTGACATTACTCCCATCTCCAATAAGACTAATTACATAGATTATCGATCTCTAGAATAGTGTCTAATTGTTCTTATCGACTTTATTTCCTTGACTGGCTATCACGTATTCTCCAAAGAAACCAACCTAAAGTGCTTCAAGCTCAGAATGACCGCTGTCAAACAAGCCTTTCAGGGTCCTATAAACACCAAGGCGCGGTTGATTTCGACTGTGTGTTACTTATTCCTCATAAGGTAGAGATAACCCTTAGTTTAAAGCTTGTTAAGTAATTGGTTGTTAAGATTAATTCACTGGATCGGGCGATCCAAGTTGTTTTAAAGCTTTTAAAAAATTAAAAGCATTTTAGTTACGGATATACTTCAACAGCAAGTTCAACCATCCGAAAGAATTTCTTATTTCAATGTCTAATTCACCTATTTTGGGTAGTAGTGGATACTCCTCCTTGGTTAGACTTTATCAAGATAAATTACTTGTAGACTGGGTTTATTTTTCTTTTCAATATTATTGTGGGGACTGGTGTGTTGACACTTCCAGCCGCGTTTCAGCAAGCTGGATGGTTGATCTCAGTATGTGTGGTTGCTATTCTGTGCTTTTTAAGGTAGGTGGCACTATTTCTACTCCCCCAGTTTTTTAACTTTCACATTCGTCATAGAAGCATTGTCTATAACCAACGCTTTGCAGAAGTCTAACTTTCTACAAGTTCGCAAGTTTTTATTACCTTAGAAAGCTAACTTTCCTATAGAAAAGTAAGAGGCATAAAGGGAATAGAGTTTCGGTTGATAGTATATCTACTGGTATGTTATGTGCTCATTCATGTACTGTTTCCAGAAGTCGCTGCTAGAACCGTTCCAAATGACTTCCAAATTACGGAGAAATACGAGCTTGTTAGTTTTTTTCCCTTCAAGTAATGCTTTTTTTCTCAGGGTCAGATGTCGCTCATTTATTTCGGAAAAGTTGGAAATATTTTAATGTACATCAATATTTGTGCATATCTATATGGTGACCTTACCATATACTCTGCAGCAGTTCCAAAGTCCATCTGCAATGTTATTTGGTTAGTTAAAAATTCCATTCGTTTACATTATAGCCATTCACTTTTTCTGCATCCTGTTCTTATAATCTTCGGGTGTATCATCTACTCTGACTCATTTGTTGGAGAGTTTCATTTAGAACTAGTTTCTTGGCTGCTAGGTTTCCGAAGAAATTGTTTGGTGAACTACTTATGAATTCGCTTAACCTTATTTGTTATCCTTAACATATGTAACATGCTTCTGTCTACCGACTTGCTTCCATATCACTCAGTTTGTCTTCTAAACTCATCTCCATGTTCTTTCTTTTTCTCACGTTATGCTGTCAATTAATTGAACTGTTTATGCAGTTAATGAACCAGCATTAATAAGTTACCCTAATACAGAGAATTTATGCGCCATATTTCTGTATACTAGCCATCTGTTAGTAATCTTTAGATGTGACTAAACATATCTCCTTTAGATGGCTAATGTATTCATAAACTTTCATTCAGTTTGTCACTTGATAGCAATGCTCTTTCCGCTCTCTGTTACTCTAGCAACCGTCTTTTACAAATGTATGAATATATCAAATCTAACAAATTCCCAATATATTTTTCACCTCAAGTTGACAACCCTTTAAAGCGGCTTACGTCTTTAACCTTGAAGCAGACAACATTAATACCTTCTACTTTGGAAATGGTGTTATCAAATAATTCTGTCTTAATAAATAGAGAAAATAAAGTAAATATACTCTCGGTATCTAAATTGTTTATTAGTTGACAGCTACGGTTTCAGCCTCGTTGTCTGTACAAAAAATTGGTATTTTAGAGTTTGCTTGGAAGCATTAAATAGATGTATATAATAGTATTTTTCTAATGTGTTTTAGTTCTTTTAACAACTCGTGGAATTCTTTGTCGGAATCAGACCTTTGTTGGGAGTCGTCATCTCTTACACGCTTAGATGTATATAGGATATTAGTTGTAAGTTATGATTTCGATCTATAATATTGGTTATGTAATACGCGTTATTATTGGTTTTACACGATATATATCAATTCATATCGTAGCTGATGCAATCCAGGTCACGCTAAAATCAGTCTGTCGTGTAGTGCCGTCTAGGGTTGCAAAACTATAATTAGCCGGTAGGAAACTATTGTGGACTTCTTTATATGTCAGGGCTAAAAAAATGTCTCTTCAGACTAATTACGGGAACGCGCGGTTTTTAATTGGAGAAGGTAAAAAAGTCGACGGACTACCAGTCAAAATAAAATAATGGGTAAAGCCGTTTGAGATACATTGCGATATTTTGCGACTTTTAGTTACTGATTTCTACCACTCAAAGGCCTTTAATAGGGGATTCTTGATTTCGTTATACCACCCAAATCAATGACCCTTGAATTCATGGTCATCGTTTGACCACTATCGGTTTGTTTACCAGGGCGTTTGGATCAAGTCATTACTTAGTTGGATTTTAAGCTAAACTTATATCATATTGAACTGATCCATAATCTTACTACTGATCGCTTTTTAACAATCAGCCATCTTAATTGGTACACCTTTACAACTGTATTGGTAGACGTACTTTTTATGTCTAAGATTTTACATATAAACTTAACGTATCTCACGTGCACAAGCGCTAGTCAAACGCCTTTAGTCTGTACTTATTGTTTGCCCTTTATTTCTAAGTTTCACAGCCATATAAATTATTAAATAAACTGACTAAATTCAGGTTGGAGTGTTAGTGTGCACCATTCTATCATGGAAAATGCGATGAAGAGTTGTATTTCATCAATAAACATACTTGGACAGTTTCAACATCATAAAATTACTCAACTACCTAATAAGTAAATATTACTGAATAATGTCATATATTGATTTGGCTTAATCATTGTCAGATATATTTTTGTTTTCTGCTTAATTGTAAAACACGAAACTATATGTTTTGTTTATGAAATCATGTGCGTCTGTTGTTTGCAATTCAAACAGTAGTATTGTCATATATAATAAGTTTATTATTTGTTGAAAGCGATGTAGTTGATCAGTGTACAACGTATTTGTCCACGGTTTTCGTGATGTTTCTTTTTGTCTTGGTTAGCTTTCTGTTGTTTGCTACTAAATCAAATGTTCGAACACGAACACGTTTTCCTGTTGAGCAAGATATTGCCTTTAATCTTCATAAAAAAAAAGTTTATTCACTATATTGTCCAGTTTCTAGTAGCGTCTTTGAACAATAAGTTTGATTGTTTAATCTATCAGTTGGTTTTGAATATATTTCTATGATTTTACTGTTGTTTGTTTTTAAATTTGTCTTAAATGTGTACTGACCAGCTGTTGTGAGCAATGTTAGGAATTTTCGAGTAACTGTATGTCTGAACACGGTAGGAAAATTCCTGTTCTGTACTATACTGAAAAGCCCAGAATAATAATTTACAGTCAAACGGTTACTAGATATACATCTAGTATTGTGGTCACGTAGCATTATTTTATTACTCTCGTCTGGACAGTATCCCAGCTCACTCATAAATTCAGTAGTTTATATGGCACGTAAATATTTACGTGCCCCTTTTTACCAATGCTTGTGCTCAAATAAATAAAAGTCAGTTTGTATAGTACATTGTGACTAGAATCCTACTCTTGACACATCATAACACTACCCATTGATCCCGTTCTATTTCAAATTCCATTCATGTTTACTCCAGACAGTGACATTTAGTTACCGTTTACTCATCACACATATATCTCATCATTTCATTTTTTGATTGGACTTAAAATCTTAATTATTTTGACTGTTTTGACCAATATATATATATATATATATATATATATATATATATATATATATATATATATATATATATATATATATATATATATATACTCAGTATAATAGTGTTGCTTAATGGATATTAAACTTCAAATCGTAAAGTATTTTCATAATATAGTTATCGTTTTTATCTAAGTAAATAACTGAAAATGTGTAGATATTTGTTAAAAATGATACGATAATACTAAGTATATTGTATCAGTATATTGATCACAATACGAATACGTCATCAAATCGTACAACATTTGTGCTTACATATTTTCTAACTGAATTCGTATTTTTTGGTTAATCCCTTCACTTGGTAATTGGGTTAGATAAAATAATGTTAGAACTTGGGACTTAGTGGCTGTGAAACGAACGTCTTAATCTTTAAGCCATCACCGCTACTAATTAATGTAACAGAAATCAGTCAGTCATCCTCAGTGAAAGATCTGATACTAATATTCACCTAAGTTACCATAGTCTACATTAAAGTGGGAAATAAAGTTAATCAAAAGATTGCAAAGCAAAGAAAAATAAATATCATCAACATAATTACAAACCTGAACATGAGAAATCCTATTCGTGTTTCTTTTGTCACATGGTTAACACTCTCAGCTGATTTTTGGTCAATCTGTGTTAACACATATCCATCTTTAGTTTATTAGCTCACTGTAACTTTTTTGTTACAAGTCTAAGTATATTCAGGCTGGTCAACAATGGAGTTAAGGAGGCGCGTTACATCCTATTTACGATTCATCAGCTGGAAGTATGTGCATTCCAACACCGATATTTTAAGTCTATTTCGGCATTTGTCCAGTCCATTAGTGTGAACTATACAACCTTGCTCAAATGCAATATGTTCTTTAAAATACAGGGTCATTTGTTCGTCATATACTGTTTCTTCTAGTTAAAAATTCTTTGCATTTATTTATATCTGACTTACCCTAAGGCAGACAGTTACTAATAACTAACGGTCAACTTGGATATATGGGCTACCTATTTCCCTACCATAAAAATATTTCACCAAGTTACATCTTTTTGCACGTTTTAACACATCACTAATGTCTATTAGTCTATTTTAAGGCGTGTATATAGGTTTGCGAGTTGTTGCTTCACAAGGTTCAAAAAAGTACAATCCAAGACATCTCGGTGGCTGTCAGTCTACTGAGAAAAGAATGAATGAAGTGTTGATTCTTGAACTGTTTACATCCAACTACTGATCGGTAATTGTTTTGTAAATGAAACTTGTTGAAATATTTCTTGCTGAAAATTCCATATTGTAATAAACATATAGAAGTGAATAAGGCTATTATTATTTTTATTATTATTACTGGATAGGTCACATGATATGAGGATGAAAATCTTCATATGTTTATGATAAATGTAATCGTAATTTTGCCCTAGTATGCAGACTGTTGTCATCAGCTTACCGCTATTAATTTTTTCTTTTCTGTCATAGGTTTGCTTTGGTGCATGTGTTTGCCCATTTTTGTTTTTCAATGTAATTCGTTCTCGATGGCTTCAGTTACTGACAGTTTGTCTACGGTGGATTGGTTTTATTTTAATGTTGAGTCTTTCAATTGAAAGAGCAATTATTTTACGTCAACATATTACAACTTCATCTTTCTACCCTAATGTTAGCATGTTTTGGAATCCTTCAGTATATTCACTATTTATACAATCTGAACCAATCCCAAAACCACCAGCTTTTCAACCTCAAAATATACCAAGTTTATTTGGAGTTTGTGTGTACGCATTTATGTGTCATCATTCTATACCTGGTATCGTAACTCCCGTTCGAAATAAGACCAATATACTATGTAAAATATTTATACCTGTTTTTATTACAGTTCTGTTGTTTAACTTTTTATTATCTGCTACAGCTATCATTGCATTTAATCACATTGAAGATATTTACACATTAAATTTTTTACCGAACAAAGAATTTATTGATTTATCACGAATTCCTTATACATTGGCTTTAATCATTGGTTATTTCTTATGTTTATTTCCTGTCTTTGCTTTAACATCATCTTATCCAATAGTGGGCACTAGTTTACTTGGAAATATTTTCTCTTTATGTGGTTTTTTCTCTGTATGCAAAAGTGATCATGCTCAAAAAATTTTGAAGTATACATTACCATTTGTTGTCCTATTACCACCATTAAGTATTGCATTAATAACTGATAATGTTGGCTATTTGACTGGTTTTACTGGGGCAATTTTCGGCTCAGGCATACAATATGTAATACCGGCACTTTTAGTATTTAAAGCACGTCAATACTTTACACATTATGTCACACTGAAAGATATTGATACTGAAACAATAACAGAAACAGCAATAGATCAGCGCAGTGATGATGTGGCACCGATAAATCTTACTGATGAAATGATACAACCAACATCCAGCAATGTTGATGATAATATGGAGAGTGAAGAGAATATCTTATATAGCTCATCAGACCATTTAACAGCACCACATTCTGTTTCAATTATCGGTAAAGGTTTCAACCACCATTTACTATCTACTTCAATGCATGCATCACCATTTCAACATTATTTATGGATAATAACAATTTTAATTTGGGCTTTATTTTGTACAATTATCGTCCTTATTGACAAAATACACCATCTCTGAATGCATTGTATTTTCAGGATTCTACTTATATTAATCCAAAAATGTTTAAAACTTCTTTATTAATTCTTAGTTGATTATGGCTTTTTTATGCTGATTTTTAATAATATTTTGTTATTTGCAATCTATATTAAGCTTCTTAGCACACTTAACTATGTTTTACAAGATTGTATGATTACACTATCTGAACCTTCGACCATTAGTAAATCAACCACTTATAAGTAAGTAGGTGTTCATATTTTTTTGTAATTAAACATATTTCGTATCTGTAACAATATGAAAATCATGCAGAATTTTTTAAAAAATGTATCATACTGTAATTTTTAATGACTTGAGCTACTTATTTTATATGATTTCTATTTTGAGTATGGAATGTGCAAAATTATTCAGCACAAAATACTACTTAAAATGTTTACAAATTTTTCTCTTTTAACATTTTAACCTCCTTTTCACTTTTTTTTAAAGTATATTTTCTCATATTTTTTTTTAAATTATAGAAGATATTTATTCTGAAAACTTCTCTTTTATTATCAGCTTGCAATTGATCATTATTACTTGAATTTTATCAATAAAAAGGTTAAAACCAACCAACCAATCTTAATCACATCGGAAGTATACAATAAAAAAATTGGCGAACAAATGTGAAATTTTATTTTATTCTTGAAATAAATAGACATATATTATGATTATTAGTGTAAAGTGTAGAAGTAATTAACTTATTGATTATAATCATATGGTGTGGTTAAATAATAAAGCTTGGCTAGTTTATTCAAAAAATGCATAATAATTTCAGGTCTGCTGTAATGTGACATAGTTTATGCCTTATTCAGATCATCCTCAATTATTTCTTCTGCATAAATTAAAATCAGTCTAAATACATACATGTTGTTTGCTCGACCGTAGCTGTTACCTTAACGTGGTGGTCGGGCTCGCCTATCGTGATGACCCAACCGAGCTATAATGGCTGGAACATATGTTCCTGTAGGTTCCACCATACCAGGCAAGTCGATTGGAGGACACTTCAAAAACTTCACATAGAAGGGTTGTGTGACCGGCCTCAAGCAGTTGTCCCTTGGGCTCTGCGGTCACGCTTCCAGGTCGTTAAGACCAACACTAATCTATCTTCCTTCTCAGGTTCCTCAAGAAACACCCACGGTGTGGGCAGACGGAAAGTGACAACCGCCCTCATACCCGTACCAGCACACGGTACCAAATCAGTCACCATCAAATACTTCCTACATTTCCTAATAGCTCTATCTCCACGACTAACCCTTCTCACACTTCTTTATCACCCCATACCGCTAATAAAAACGATTTGAGTTCCCGAAACGTTATTCCTGGCCTCCTGAAACCCCGTTCTAGACTACATGTTGGAGCTTTTAATGTACGGACATTGTGTCAAATAAGGCAACAGGTTTCCCTAGCTAGGAGTTTAGAATCTCGCGCAATCGATGTATGCTGCGTCTCCGAAACGCACAAACAGGATCCGAGTAGTGTCATCCATTTGATGTCGCCATGTCAAGATGAAGAAGCAACTCGATTTACTCTGCGTGCATCTGGAAGCTCTGCTTCCCGGGGTCTCGCTGGTATAGGTATAGCATTGAGTCGTAGGGCAGAACTAGCTCTCCTAGACTGGATCCCAGTAGATAGTCACTTGTGCGCTGTCCAACTAAACGGGACTGACTACAGTTCCGATGAGGTGAAAGATGAGTTTTACAGAAAGCTTTTGGACCTCCTCCAAAACGTTAGACTTTCTGATATAGTAATAGTGGCTTATGACTTTAATGCTCAAGTAGGTAGACTAAGTGAAATGGAGAGACACGTGGGTGGATCTTATGGTGTCGCGGCTCAAAGAACAGATAATGGCGACCGTCTGCTGCAACTATACAAAGATAACCGCCTGTTACTAGCAAAAACTAACTTTAAGCATAATGAACATCTTTTGACCCAGTGACCCCCAAAGTCGTCCAAACGCTGACCCGAATTAGATCACATTGCTATCAGCCTCCGATAAAAGACTATTGCTCGTTCTGTGGCACATGTTTAGATTCAGATTATGCTCTAGTGCGAGAACGTATTTCTTTGCAAATTTGTCATTAAAAGGTGTACCAAAGAAGTACATCAACATCTCTACTCGAACACTAGTGGTCGAGTGAGAGCCTATGGCAAACTGTCATCGGAATTCTTTACTTCAAGTAGTGTCCGTCAAGGATGTTCACTCTGTCCATTCTCGTTTAACTTTGTAGACATCCTTTTAGATCTAACATTATCCTCGTCACATTTTTCAGGGGTGGATCTTCTATCAGGAGGATCGCCGATGACATAGTTCTATTCGGTGAAGACGCTAACAAAATTCAGTATTCTGACTACCCTAAGCAACAATGCAAGCATGTTTGGGATGCGATTCTTTCCGTCGAAATGCAGTGTTGCCTCAAGATTGGGTTTCATCGGTACACGAACTAGTGATAAGGAGTGAAGCAGTTGAGCGTGTTGACCGCTTCACACATCTCGACAGTCTCATCAGTGCTGATGACCTAGTGTGTGACGAAATCTCAGCACGGATACAGAAAGCTCGATTGCCAACTTGCGTTATTTACGGTGTAGGAGAGATATCCGTTTGCTAATGAAAGGTCGAGTGTACTGTGCTGCAGTTCGCTCCGTTCTCCTACATGGATGCGAAACATGGCCGGTAAGGTAGAAGATATTGGTAGGTTACTAGTATTCAATCATAGGTGTCTTCGAAGCACTGCTCGTGTATCGTGGGACAACCGAGTGAGCAATGCTGTTATTAGGAAACGGGTACTAGGTAAGGATGGTAGATCAATTGATGAAGTATTGAAATTTCATCAGTTGCGCTTGTTGGGACATGTGTTACGAATGCCCAACCACTGACTGCCCCGACGAGCGATGTTTCGTGGTGTAGGTTTAGGTTGGATGAAAGCTAGTGGCGCTCATACCAAAACGTGGCACAATTCCATGAAGTCACTGACAAGTTAACTGAGTCATGCTAGTAGATGTAGGTTACCTGGTTGTGGTGCACAAGACGATGGTTCGAAACTTTGAATGACATGGCTCAAAATCGTTTGCAATGGCACAGGTGCATCCACTCTTTGTGTTCTCTCAAATCCTCATCTTCTGGATCGGTCAACACCTCTACCTTTGTCTTTCTAAACTTATCTCACTGAATTATACTTCTTAAATACTGTCTTCAAATCCTAATCTTCTTCATTACTGCTAATTCGTCTACTATCTATTCCACTATGGGATTTGAATTGACAATTGTGTCTCCGTACTATTGTGGTATGGCAACCTGAACTGATGTACTTACGTACGAAGTTCTACGTTGTAACTGACTGACTGACTGAAGAGCGAATTCAGCTTAAGCGCAGGCTGATAAAAAGCTTACGCAACGACCGCGAACAGTGGTGAGTTGCGAAAGCAAAAGCGATGGAAAAGGCAACGACAACAGGCAATAGTAGACATTTGTTCCGACTTATCAAGGAAACTAGTATTAGAAATCCATTTGTTAGCGGAACTATCTCAAGAAGGGGTGGCTATATCATTCATTTTCAACCCAGGAGATTGGATCGATGGGCAGAACACTTTACGGATCGGTTCCACTGGCCTTCAGCCTCACTTCGGTTGCCCAAGATCGTTAGTCATCCTGAGTGGCAAATCGATTTGCGTCTCTGCGTTAATTTGACATGGCAACCTGAACTTATGTACTCATGAACGAAGTTCTACGTTGTAAATGACCGAAGTAATTCCAATTCAACCAAATTTAAATTTGATATATGTGAATTCTTAATGGGCATATGATTCCTATACAACTGCCTATATTTTGTGAGAAATCAATTTCTCAACAAACGCATATCATAAGACAGAACTAGCCAACATGAAATGCTCCCTAATGAAAGGATATACACATTTATCGGACGCAGATTGTTCTTAATAAACTTACCAGTTTTTAGTGATTATAAATAAACAAACTTGTTTGCAGCAAACATGGTTTTACATTACATTACATTACGGTTATATTAAGTAAAATTAATGAGACAAGTATAAGATCGAAACCTGAGTTAAACTGTAAATCAAACAAACAGTACCAGAAGACTAATCAGAAGTATGGAGAAGACATTAAAAATAATAATTAATGTATACATTTATCAATAAATACAGAAAGCAGAAAATCATAAGAACTGAGTAAAAGTGGGAACTATGTTTTAAACAAACCGTCCGGATGACATACGAAATCAGTTAGTCATACGCGATGCAAAGGTAATTGAGGGGTTGAAAAGTGCATCAAATGTGTAGGGTTGAACCCACAATACTGTAATGAAGCTGATCAAGAACTTATTATTTTTTAAAGGTATCAAAAGCAGTTTCGGTTACACGTCTAGCAAATTTAATAATTAGACTACGGGATTACTCACGTTCACAAACGAATAGTGAGGTAAAGTGGTCATGACTTAATACCTGTCTTTTATCAATCTTAAAGTAGCGTCTCATCGTTTCACTGTTTAGGCTTCAGTTGTGTTGTTCAGCTGTCACATGAATGAGACATACACCATTACAACTCGTCAGATTGGTTTCTGAGCTTTCATTTAATCTTGATATAAAGTGTGGTTGATTAAACTGTTTTAATAACTCACTAAATACCAGTTGACAGAAGATATCTTCAAACTATTGGGTAAAATACGACTTTTCCTAATAAGGTAAATTACCCGTCGACGTGATACTTGTTAGTATTTGCGGTACTGTAAAACAAAAATATTCTTTCTTAAGAATTAGGCTCCTTTAGTCGATTTCCCTGATCTCTCAGAAATGGTAAATCGAATGACAGAATTGGGAATTTAAAACCGATTTATATAATATTGCTTTCAGATGACCTGTTGGTGAGTGAGTCAGTCAGCTACAACGGAAGAACTTCGTACGTAGGTACATCAGTACAAGTTGCCATACCACGGTAGTAAAGAGAAGTAACTGTCAACTCAAACTCCATAGTGGTAGAGGTAGTAGAACTATGAGGAGAAGCCGCACAGATCACTATCCGAAGATATGATTCGAGAAGTATAATCCAGTGAAATAAACTTAAAAAGAGAATGACAAAGATGGTGAGGAATTTAAAAGATTAGGATTTGAGAGAACACAAAGAATAGATCCACCCGCGCAACTGCAAACAATTTTGAATCATGTCATTCAAGGTCTCTAACCATCGATTACTTTCATCTCACAGATCCCTACCAGGTAGTCTACACTTACCAACACAGCTCAATCCAGTTGTCACTGACCTCATGGAATTGTGCCGCCTCTTATCACCACTTCATCTATTGACCTGCAATTCTTACCTAGTACCAGTTTCCTAACAACAACACTGCTTACTCGGTTGTCCCAGGATACACGAGCAATGCTTCGAAGACAGCTACGATCGGAAACCAGTATCGTATGAATATCCTCTCTTTCTAATGGCCATGTTTCATAGTCATAAACTAGGACGGAACTAACTGCAGTGCAGTAGACTCATCCTTTAGTTAGCAAATGGATATCTCGCCTACGCCATAACTGAGGCAGGCTGACAAAGGCCAATCGAGCCTTCTGTTCCCGTGCTCAGATCTGTGGTGGTGTTTCGTTCTCTGAGCTGGATGTTTTGGTTGTGGAGCTTTCATTGTTCTTCCGAACAACATCATCAGCACAAACTTCTATTCACCTGAGCTACAAATTTTCTCCACCATTTCATGCTCAGATCTTGTCAGACACGAGGCCATCAGCACCGATGAGACTCACGAGGTAAGTGAAGTGGTCGACACGCTCAACTACTTCACTCCTTATCACTAGTTTAGATGCCGATGCAAGCCATTCCTGAAGCAAAATTTGCATTTCGAGTGTGAGAACCGCATCCCGAACATGCTTGCATTGTTGCCGAGGATGATCAACAGACTCTACATTTTGTCAGCGTTTCCTACTAGTAGAACTAAGTCATCTGCATATTCTAAGTCAACAGGAGAATCTCCCGGTAAAAGTTCAACTCTTGGAAAGTCAGATGATGAAAGTGTTATCTTTGAAAGCGTGTATATGACAAATTTGAACAAGAGTGAAGAAAGCTGACAATCCTGACGAACAGCGTCTAAAGAAATCAGTTCCGATGACGGTTCGCCATAAGCTCTAACTCGACCAGTCGTGTTCGAGTAAAGAGCTTGTGTAAGGCTAATGCACGTCTTTAGTACCCCTTTCAACGGCAGACACTTTCATAGAGCATAACGATCGACAGAGTCAAAGGCCACCTTAAGGTCAAACAATATGACTATTGTTCTAGAACCTGACGACGTATGAATATTCGGTCTATACAGCCACGCTCAGGTCGAAAAGCAGCCTGGTTTGCTCGAGTCTCCTCTTCACTAGCGTCGAAGTACTATTGAGACCAATATTTTAGATACCATATTAGTAAGGACTGATTCTTCTGTGACTGTCACAAGAGGACTTTTGTCCTTTCTTGCAGACTGAGGTAGTCAGTGATTGAGACCAATCAAATGGGATAACACCCAGTTCCCAGATTCTACCTAACATCGCGGTCAATCTAACTGTTAAAACTGGACCACCATCCTTAAAAATCTCAAGGGTAGTCCTGTCAGGCCCTGCTGCTCTCCCTCGCTTTAGATTTCCTACAGCATTTTCAACTTCATAAAGACTCTGAGGACTTACATCGATTCGCCACTCGGGTTGACTGGAGATCGAGGGCAACCGAAGTGTGGCTGAAGGCCAATTAAACTGGTCCCTGAAGTGCTCTACCCATCGATCCACTCTTCTGGATTGTGGATGAGAATAGTCAAATCCTTTTCCGAGATAGTCTCGCTAACAGTTGGATTCTTAAGACCGGTTCCCTTGATAAGTCTGAATAATTGTCTACTGTTGCCTATTACCACTGTCTTTTCCATCTCTCTTGCTCTCGCTACCCACCACTGTTTGCAAACAGTGCGTAGGCTTTTTATCAGCCTGCGTTTAAGCTGACTCCGCTCTTCGTCACATTCAGAGCCAGATGGGATGAGTTCCCGAGCATCTTTCATTTCGATATATGCTACTGAAACCCACTTATTCTCCCTAAACTTACGGCTTACCTTACTGGCAGATATCACTGATGTTTTTACAGCTTTTTGGATTTCATTCTAAGCTGTCTCAGGGTGGGCATCACATATCGCTGCCTAACTGCTTTTCTAGTCGCTCCTGAAATATATTCTTAGCTATTCTATCATTAAGTAGAACCATAATTGGTTTCACTGCAGTGTCTTTCTTATATCCAGTATGACGTAGATGAATACGCTTTCGTTCTAGAGCGTGATCTGAATCTAAACATGTGCTCCAGAACTAGCAACATTCTTCTATCGAACCGACTCTCCACCGGTTGCTGATAGCGATATCGCATTCGGTCGATTTTGGGGGTCACCAAGTCAAAAGGCTTTTCCCTATGCTCAAAGTTTGTTTGCTAGAAATAGGCGGTTATCTGAGCATTGCTGCAACAGACAGTCGCCATTATCTCTTCCTTTAGTCACAACATCCTAAGATCCATCCAGATGTCTTTCAGTTTCGCTTAGTCTACCTACTTGGGTATTGAAGTCTTTAGCCATTATTACTATATCAGAGCGCTTAACTGTCTGAAGGTTAAATAAGTTTCTGAAAAACTCATCTTTATCCCGTCTGTATGCTGTCAGTGGGAGCGTAAACATTAACAACGGCGAATACCCTTATCTTTACAAGTTCTTACTGTCCTGTTTAGTTGGACAGCGCATAAGCGAGTCTACCAGGATCCAGTCTAAGAGAGCTAGTCCTGCCCTAGTACTTAATACTATACTTACACTAGTGAGACCACAGGAACCAGCGGCAGCAGGGTTTCCAGATACACGGAGTTGGTTCTTTATCTGGACAAGGTGAAGTCAAATTAATGATTCTACTCGGATCTCGTATGCGCGTTTCGGAGACGCAGTTTACATCGATAGTACGAGATTCTAGGGTTCTAGCTAAGGAAGTTTGTTGTCTTATTTGGCACAAAGTTTGATATGCAGTTTAGAACTTGGTTTCAAGATATCAAGAATAACGTTTCATGGGCTCGAAACGTTCGCGTCAGCGGCGCGGTGATAAGGGAATGAAGGGTCGACTTTTTTTAATCCCTTCCCTCTTTGTGAGGAGGCAGCATTGCCGAAGATGCTGGTTGTCTCAGGGAAACACCCTACTGCTCTCACACCCCTGTACAATCGGCAGTATTACTTCGTCCTGAGACATAAAGTTGTTCCTTTTAGTCTTACTATACTTCAATCGACCTGCCTGGCATGGTAGGACCTAAACGAACATAAGTTCCAGCCAATATCGCTCGGTTGAGTCGTCACAATAGGCAAGCCCGGCACATCAAGGTAGCAACTTGTCTACTTACTAACATTTACCCTGAGATACAAATAAACATCTCATTCATGCTCGGCTTTAAACAACTGAAATTCAGACATCATCATCATCTGATTGTGACCAATTCGGTCTCGTGTGCTCATCGTCAAGTTACACTTTGATGCAAGTTACACAGGTGGAAAGTATATACTTTCTCAGGAGATAAGCCTAATTACTATTTCAAAGGTAAAAACTATGTTTATGAAAATTCTAAGGTTAAAACCGACAGTTATAAACAGTGTTGTATTCAGCGCTATTTACATACTAAGTATGGTTTGATTTGAAGTGTTTTTATGTTTTACCTATTAAAACAGTTGAGTAATGACATTGTCCCATGTCTTGACAACCTAAGTATCTCTAGTTTTTTATTGAGATCTCGACGATAATAGAGATGTTTGAACGTGAGGACCAATTAAAAAGTGACGAAAATTCGACAGCGCAATGTAAACTGAGGGCAAGAATGCCCCAACTACTTTATCTTACACGCCAGAAAATATGAACATTTAGAAAAACAGATTATTAGTCATAGCTTGGAGATATTTTAAATGCCCCTAGAAAGCTGTATACGCACAGATTATAGTATGGCATAATCAAAGTTACTAAGCAGATTAAAAAGGTATGCAACAGTACTATGTTAGTGTTGTTCATAATGAGAATAAGCATTAAGATATTTGTTCGAGCGCGGCACAATCAGAACTATTCTCCTTAGCTACAAATTTCCAGTAACTTTTTGAGATACGAAGTGGATAGTTTTATGTTTGTGTACTTTCATTCTACACAATGAACAATCATTATTGTAGTTATAAATGTGAACTACCTGTGCATACGATAAAAAAGGAAAACTGTACACCAGATCATAAGTCGCATACGCTACGAAGCGATACCATTTACAGACGTGAAATTAAATGTAATTTATAACGTCGTATTTTCACCTGGCAACTGTTGAAAGCATTAGATAGTCTAATCGTATCAACACGATAGCACATTGATAGTGGTACTAAACATTGTGGAATTAAATGTAATCGTAATTACGTATAAAGTTAGTGGTAGAGTCTTCGGCTTTATATCACCTGCGCTTAAACGACTTCAGTTACGCAAAGCAGATAAAGAACATTAAAGCAGTCAAACTGCATAAGTATCAACTGTATATACCTACATCTGTGATATAAATAGAATATATACAAAGATTGTTTAATCAAAAAGTTCATTTATAAGTTTGCATTTGGAATTTTCTTCTATACATTTAGGAACACCATTAACATGCAAATACACTATACTGCCATCAGGTACAGTAAGAGTACATGCAGAGAATAAACTTGTTATCAATTTAGGCGGCCAGTCATAAATATACAGAGAAACTTGATATTTACGAACTTTATTAAAAAATGCGGTGATAAAGCTTTGAAATGTTGAGCTTAACTCTTGATTATCATGTAATTCATTTAAAAGAAACGAAGTAATCATTGAATTTTCTGACAGATTCAATTTATGGAGGTAAGAAAGAGTATCAGGTATCATATCTAGAAATGTAGTTGTTACAGACGCTTGAGTATTATGCGATATAAAAACTGAAGATAAGTCCAAACATTCAAGGTAAGGACAAGTTTGTTTAAGAAAAGCTGACATCCTTTCAAAACGCACGTTTAGTGGACAAGATGATGGAGGACCAAGAAATAAGCGATAACATCTTGATACATTTAGATATTTTAGACTTTTTGAAGGATTTAAACCAATCAATGCTGATAAGTGTACATCACATACCCAACTACTTTTAGATAGTTTGAGGTACTTTAGCGAAAATCTTGGAACACCGGGTAGAACTTCCGGATGAATCAACCTAAAAATAGAAAAATACCGCAACTACCCATCAAAAAAGTAGTCCTCAGATTTATTTTTAGATATCAAATTTAATATCCCTGGGGAAATACACTAGGTCTAGTTTTACATATTTAATGACATGGCAAAGCATAATATGGATAAAGACTGAGATCAGTTTGTGATGTTAACTATAATAAATAAGCAACTATTACACTGATTCAAGGATATAAGCATTTGAATTACAAGAAATCCACTGTGCAATGGCAATCGCAGCTATATGATTGATTCCAAATTTCGAATGGGCAAATTAATTAAATCTTTTTGCGTTATTATGTATATTCATACTTGTTCTTTGCAACTACTAACTTGTAAATCTCTGCATCACTTAATTCATTCGCTATCCGTTTATATTAGCTTGCTTTTATCAACTTGACCATAAATGGTGAGCCACGCTTAGGTAAACTGAGTAGGCTGGCAAAATGCCTGTGTTTATCGATTAATTGCGTGAAGGAATCTCTGAAATAAAGAAAGACAACTGCGCATTCGGATATTTATTTTCGAATTGTATTAATGTGATTAGTCGACAGAAAGTATACGAAGTGCATATTATTCTGTATCTCATCAGTTGTCGTTCATTAAATGAGTTAGTGCAGTAGCCCCAAATGCATTCACTGAGTTATGAACATTGATCTAATTATTAACTTTTTAAAGTGTGCAGCCTACATCCTAATGCAATACTTCTGTACATTTCTGTCGATTTGCTGTCATACTTACTCAACCAAGCTAATAAAATTACTATATAGTGGTACATATTTGAGGTTGCACAGTTTAAAACATTTGGTATGGTTGGGTTGATATGGATGAATACGCAAGATGCTGACACAAAATTTTCAATTAAAGTTCAATACATGAACATCTACAGAGATCCAAAACCAAAAAAGATGATGATTATAATAATGACAATAAAATTATTCAACGAAGTAACCCACCTGCTCTTAGCAACAGTCTCAACTAATTCAAGTTTTTCCAGATAGTCAGAAAATAATCTGATAAAATTTTGAAATTCATTGATACATCCACCCTGAATCAGTACGTGAGTCAGAACACCACAAATTTTAAAGACTGGTGCCAGTCCTGCTTCAACATTTCTAGATTTCGGATTAACTTTACAGCAATGCAATTACGATAAAAAGGAACCTACATTTAATTTTGGCGCTACAAGTTTGTCGTCCAACTAGTTTTTGCTTTGAGAAAAGACGCAAATCTTTTGGTTCTACTTCATAATTACGAAAGTCTAAATGTTTCCACAAGTATGAATTTCGTGATAATACATGTAACTTTTTGTTAACCCTGAAGATACATTGAAGTGAGAAACTTACCTTGAAACATATTTTATCAAATCAATCTGGGACAAGTAAGTGAAAATTCTAAGAAGTAACTCATCAGGGAGATTGCAAAAGGTAACTGGACATTGAGTACTGAAACAAAAATGGAGTATCATAACAATCACTTAACAATCGTACATAAATTCACAAACTAGGATTGATAAAGTGAATGAATATATATATATATATATATATATATATATATATATATATATATATATATATATATGTGACAATATCCGTTAATATACGAAAGTTAATTTCATATGACAGTTTGGCTTGGATTTTTGAACCATTATACTTAAATGATGTGGAGAATCTAACTGTACAATTATCCAAAGACAAAGCATTGGGGTATGAAGCACACATTTATTATTTTTAACCAGTGAGAGAAGTGTACGCCAATAATGTGTGAAAATTTTAAACCCTAAATGTTCTTTGGGGCGAAGATTTACTCGAGAAAACTTACTAACCCAGGCTAAACCTAAAGTAAGCTTTACTACAAAACTTGGTCGCGAAGAGATACTTGAACAGTGGAATAAGGTGGACCATAGTATAAATACCGGTGGTTGATAGATATTACATTTTCTTGCTTTGAAGCACAGATGATACCGAAAAGGAATCACAGGTTTACAAATGTAGAACACTTTAAAAAATTCAAACCTAAACGTTTTTACGATGGCACGTAAATTAGTAGGAGAAATATGCAAGTACATAACATAACCTCCAAATTCCAACGACATCGGGAAAACCATAAAATTTATCAAACATTCCCAGAATTTCCCCAAAGTTGGGAGTGTGGATCACCACGACATTTATTACTAAACTCATTTATAGACCATTTGAATCTTGAACTATGACCAGGAATTATATTTCTAGTTTAGACCATGTATGCACACATATAGAGACCAGTTACTATATGAATGTAGTAGCTAAGCGTGCTTAAAACTAAATTCACCCAGTAACTGATTTCCTGATAATTATAAACGAGGATATATTCAAATGGGTTAGTGCCCCTAAAAAAGTAAATTTCAAAGTTTAAAATAAGATAAATCGCACAAGCAATAAGCATACGTTATATTCATAGAAAAGTACTGCAGAGGGCGTGACCTTGGGGTAAGGTACGGCCTCCAATATCCAATATCTTATTGAATAGGTAGTTTATAGAAATTGATTTCAATATCCAATATCCAATATCTTTTTCACGAGCTAGTGTAAACCAATTTGATTTCTTCGCGCTCGATTCTTGTTCTTTCGGTACGGTTCCAGGTGTTCGGTAATGTCCAATGGATGGAGGTCTAGCCACTCGACTGTCTAATTCTAGTCAGTTGGCAGTTGGTTGTGAGTTTGTATGTCTCGGGATTTGAATGAAACGTTTGTTTCAGGGCAGTAGGGTTTCTGGATACTAGCAGCCGTCACTTTACCAAACCGGAGATCAGTTAGTTGCAATGTGGAGAGTAATAAGGGTAATAAGGGTAAATTAAAATGATAATATGAGTAAAATTTCAGAACTGAGTAATATATAGATGAATTTAGTTTATTAATTGGTAGTGAAGATTGTGAGAGAGGACCGAAGTGTAAGCAAGGGAGAGGAATAGGCGAGTTAAATTAATTAAGTGATCTGAGGAGATGGCAATGGTAACAACTAGCAGGTCTCAAGATATGCATCAGGCACAGCTTGTCCAAGAGGGAGATGATAGTCCGCATGTGAGTACGAGATTATCAAGTCTCTTCTTAAAGCAGTCCACTGAGGGGGCTGTAACTACCTCGGCTGGGAGAGCATTCCAAGTTGCGACGACTCGCAATGAGAAAAAGTGTGCACGAACCTGAGTGTTTGCTCTTTGATGTGCAATCTTTTGAGGATTGCCTCGAGGGGAGTGGTGGTGATGCATCGGTAAGATGCTCACATTGGGATGGTTGGGCGTGTTTAATATGGTGTACGCCATAATCAGGTCACCTCTGATTCTCCTGTAGCTCAGTGGGAATAATCCCAAGAGCTGGAGTCTATCGTCGTACGGTTTATTTTTCAGCCCTATCACCCATTTGGTTGCTCGTCTCTGCACTCGATCCAAGAGATTAATGTCTCTTTTAAGCATAGGGGGTGCGATGACGTTGTGAACCTCCAAGTGTGGGCGCGCGTACGTCTTAAACAGGGTTAAAAATAATTTCGGGGTTATAGCACCAAGCTGTCTTCGCATAAAGTGAAGAGTCGCATTTGCCTTGGCTGCATCCCCTACATAGTTCGGACTCGTGTGGAGGCTTTCTGTGGTTATTAAACCAAGATCGCGCTCTGAGGAGACCTTAGGGAGCGGACTTCCATTGAGAAAGTAGGTGGTTTGCGTCATATGAGGCAGGAAATGCATGACGTGGCACTTCGGTTGGTTAAGTTTTAAACCGTTTTTCACGGCCTTCGCTTCATGTTGTTTTTGTACGGTCCAGGTTATTCGGCAAATTCATATGGGTGGTATTCTAGCCACTGAACTGTACTAATTTTAGTTGACAGTTCTTTATGAATTCCTGTGGCTCAATTTGTGCCAGTGCATATGGCTTAAGAAATCAACTGCTTTATACTAGCTCGTGGAAAAGATATTGGATGTTGGAACTTGTCTCCAACCCCGATACTCCTTCACCTAGACAAAATGCTGGTTTTGAGGGACCTTGTCAAAAGACTTCCTAAAGTCAGTGAAGGCTGTATCTACAGGTAACTTTTGATCTGTATGAGCGCACCGACTTCATGCGCTACTGACAAGACAGTGAGACATAAGTAGCCTTTTTTAAAGCCGTGCTGCTTCTAAGAAACAATAGTGTCTTCTAAGATAGCTCCTTGCAAATAATCCTGTCTAAAATTTTCTCAATAACGCTATTTATGCTTACGAGTTCATAGTTTTCGGATTTTTGTCTTCTACCTGTTTTGAAGTCCGTACTTTCTATAATGTACTCTAAGTCATATGGCAGTCTGCTGTGGACCATACATAGAATGAAATACATGATAAAGGGATCTTCAATGAACTTAGCTGATTCCTTAAGTAATCTATAATGCTTTTCATTGTGGCCGTGGATCTATCTAAATAAAGCGGATTTGAAGAACCGAAGATATCAAGTTTTTAATCGCCACACTGTCTAGAGTCTGAGTGGAGGGTTTTGTATGAACTAGAGGAAAATTTATTTCTGGCATATCTATCGCCAAAATATAATAAGAATACTTGATCACTGTCATAATCGTCTCTCACCAATGATGGCGTATCACTAGATCCCGACCATGCCGCCTCTTCACCTACACTTTGTTTACGTACGAGACACAAACATTTCGAACCTCCGAGTGTTGAGATTTCGCCTCATCAGTGCAAAACGGCTCAAAATATTCCCCACGTTCTTCTTCAGTCCCAGAGAATGGTGGGAACATTTTATTGGAAAATTATGGGGAATTTCTCGGATTCTTTAGTGTATTCTAAGGAGTGTGACATGCATAACGTACATGTGAAAATTTCTAAATACCTCTGAAACCTTTTTAATAAGGGAACTGTGTTTCTATTTTCTAGTCTCATGAGGCTGCTGACTGTTAGATGTCTGATCGCATTATGTTGCGTTCATCCTATTGTATTAGATCCATTTCACTGGAAGGTTCTCATATCAATTTTATCAACGTAGTTTGATTTACTTGCCGGTTCATCAGTCTGTAAATTTTTAGCAGGGTGTCCCCAGGGCTCGTTTTATTTGGTGTGTGGTAGATGTAGGCTCATCAATTCTGTGGAGGTCGGTATTCGATATAATTCTTGAACTTCGTATACTAAGGGAGCTGAACGTTAAATGGGAGTGTCGAAAAGCAAGCGAGTGAACGAATGTATGTATACATAGGAAAATCAATCAGTCGTCGAAATACTTAAGATGCCAATATTATGCCGATTATATTGAATATGCACGAGAGAATACTCAAAGCACAATGATACGGACATATTGTTGCTAATCAAATGACTGTCTATTAAATAATTCATGAATGAATTCATGAGTAGGGTCGGATACTATTCGGACGCCTTGACCGGAGTGAATGGTTTCCTCAAGGCGTCACTCCTCTAGCCTTCGTTCCAACAGCATGGTCTACAAAATAGGGGCGCGACATTAAGTGACATAGTTCGATGGTAGCCGCTGACCATCAATGGAAGTATGTTTGGTTCTTTTCTTCAGGATCCTCACCGGACATCTGCTTCTCGTTTCCCTAGTGTTGAAAATAACACCCACACGTGACATTCGATAGTTGTGACCACTCGTTTCGGAATTTCCGCCATGAGGACGGGTTTTCTTCCGCCATATTAGGTCGTTTCTTTTTCACGATTTATAATTATCCGTCAGGTAACAATGTAGTGGAAATCATAGTTTTTTTGCACACCCTGCGCGATTTTGAGTGATTTACTCCAAATACTGTGATGACATTATTTATTTCTAATGAAAGCAGACCTAAATTTACGACACAATATTTTAGGTGTTTCTTGGCTGCTGTCATGAGAAGGACAAGGAACTGAAAAAACGTTCGTTTTTGATTTTCTGATTCCTCACAGTCTGCACTGGTGTCGATCTTTTATCCTTGAGCACATTTTGGTCAGTCTTCCCTTGGCTAGACTGATAGCACTGTGAATCAATTTGTTTATCAATGGAGTGATTATAATTAGACCAATCTCGATAGCTACCATCCATTTCAGTAAGGTCCATTATTGAAATTGTTTGTGGCAGCTTACGTTTTGCGTACGACCGACATTTATGGCACATCCAAGCACATTCGTTTCGTCAGACTGTTTAGAATCTGCAAGTTTTATACTGGTGCAAACCTAACAATATCGCCCTTCGCACTCATCGAATTGCATGCCACTTTCAGTGTTGTTTTTAAAACAAGCTAGTCATTGCGAAGAGGTTGAAAAATTGTTTAATTGCGTGCCAACAAAAACTGATAACCATGAAGAATCAACAGTGAAATGTTGAGTTCGAACGAACAGGAAACGGAAGAAATCACTAGACTCAATAAACTATAGTATAAAAACTGCACATAGGAAAAAGCAATACTCCTGTTGTCGACAAGCTCAAACACTTCACACCTTATCACTAGTTCAGGTGCCGATGAAAGCTAATCTTGAAGGCAACGAAATTAGTAGACTGAGCTGTTTACTGATTTAACCAGACCAGAAGCAGTTTCAGTGTGATATCAATATTCCTTTTTATCTGATTGTACAGTCTGACAACAAAATTACTGTAAAAAATTTCTTTGACGAAATTTACGGTATTGATTACGTCTACTCGTTATCCAGCACAATGACATTAGTGTCCTTTCTAAAGAGCTTGATATTGTTTAACTAATTAGCTAAGAATTCCGGCATTTTGTATATTCTTGCAAGATTCGAAGCACTGGTGAATGCACACAAACGTCCAATCCGCTTGATCAAGATAAGAGAATTCTTAGTGATCAGTTAAATGTAAAGATAACTTTGTTTTGTTAATAATCAGACTTTGTAGGTCGACGGCTCATCAAGTATGATTGTTTCTTCTGACAAACAGTCGTGTTTACATATTCTAGCGAGTGACTTCCCAATTCTTCACAATAAATTAGGACAGATGAATCATAGAAGAATATTTGAAATCAAGTTATTGAGAAAGGAGGTTGCGAACCTCTTTAAATGCAAGTCATAAACTCACTAAAACTGTCATTTCGTTGAAGTAGTCATTTTACACATATGAGATTTGATGAGTCATCTTCAGAATATAGATCACTGCTCAGATGTTCTGGAAATCGTGAAGCCTCCAAAAGTAAAAAGTAAATTTTGTTCGAAAAACGCTCGACCAACTACCTAACTATATGGAAGATGCAAACTATAATAAACCAGATGAAAGTAATAAAGAATAAATTAGAACTAATCTACACCGAAACTTCTTGTTTAATTTCCAGAGATGGTAGCTGGTCAAAGCATTTATGAATTTTGTTTTCATGTTACTGATTAGTAGTATAACTGGACACACAAAATTTAGTTTACGATCAATTCATTTTTTATGATGATACGAAGATAGTTTCGAAATAAGCTTCTCATACAAATTTATCATTGTTAGTTGGTTTATATCGAACATCTAGAGAAGTCAAAACT